CTTAAGAAAATGCTCAACAGCTTTAGTCATCAGAGAAATGCAAATCAAAACAACTCTGAGATTCCATCTTACACCTGTAAGAATGGCTAAGATCAAAAACACTGATGACAACTTATGCTGGAGAGGTTTATGGTAAAGGGAATACTCCTGCATGGCTGGTGGGAATGCAAGCTGGTACAGTCCCTTTGAATATCAGTATGGTAATTTTTTTAAGAAAATTAGAACACAACCTTCTTCAAGACCCAGAATTACCACTTTTGTGTATATATCCAAAGGATGCTCAATAGTACCACAAGGACATGCGCTCAAATATGCTTACAACAGCATTGTTTCATAGCCAGAACCTGAAAATAACTTAAATCCCCTTGACCAAAGAATGGATAAAGAAAATGTGGTACATTTACACAATGAAGTACTACACCACAGTAAAAAAAAAAATGACATCTTGAAATTTGCAGACAAATGGATGGAGCTAGAAAACATCATATTAGTGAGATAACCCAGACCCAGAAAGACAAATATCTTATATACTGACTCATAAGTTGTTTTTTAACATAAAGCAAAGAAAACCAGCCTACAAATCACAATCCCAGAGAGCCTAGACCACAATGAAGACCCTAAGAGAGACATACACGAATCTAATCTACATGGGAAGTAGTAAAAGACAAAATTTCCTGAGTAAATTTAGAGCATGATTACCATGTGAGAGTGTTGAAGGGGAGGGGAGAGGCAGAAAGGGGAGCAGAGAAAAATGTATTGCTCAATAAAGTCAATAGAAAAGTGTTACAAATTTGTAACAACGAGAATATCTATATGTCCTAAGGTGACTTGCTGAATAAATCGCAATTACTATCTACTGATAGAATATTAGTTTGTGTGTGTGTATGCACATGCATGCACACACACCAAAGCCCCATACTGAGTGTCTTCCTCAATCATTCTCCTTCTTGTTTTTTGAGACAGGGTCTCTCACTGAACCTGAAACTCAGCAATTGGTTCTTTGTGTCCAATTTATGCAACAGTCCAGGCAAGATCAGTTTCTTGCCCAAATGGCTATTAAACTCCATAAGGAGAATCTTTGATGCCCATGTTCCTCAGGAAGTAGCTTGGTGTTGCCAGGAGCAGACGTGTCTCATTGTCATGAAAAGCCCTAAGTTATTAAAATATTTTAAATGCCATATTCTGTAGTCTTTGAAAGATATGAAGAATGCCTATCTGAAATATATCTATGAACATCTAGAAAATCTAACTAACATGACTACAAACTTGACTATTACAGATGACTATCTATTAAGCTATATTTCTTAATTATACATTAAATTTTTAAATGAACTATATAATCACAATACCTTAATCAAGAACAGAAATATACATATAACAAGATTGACCTTAAATTTATACCAATAAAGCAATATCCATATAAATGCAAATTATTCATATCTATATCATATCCCCCTTTAAATGTAAAAGAACATTTATAAACAATATTTGAGAATATGGGTGTAGTTTTTTTCTCTGCAAACCGCTTTGTGCTCTATGGGGGCACTGTTAATCAGGTCTTTCATGGTATATCCTGTATGCTAGGTTCATCTCAGTCAGCAGTTGAGTAAAAAGTAATTTTTGAGGGTGTTTACGGCAACCTTTCAGGAGGGTGTGGTATATCAAACCATATTTGTCTAAAAGGAATTCACAGGGTCTCATCCTCTGTGAAAACAAATGAAGAACCTCTTTTTCAAAGCATCATATCCTTAGACCCAAAGTCTGAAGTCAAGATACCTTTATAATACATATGTTGGTTTAGTTTAGTAGCACATACAATGAAAAGTCTCTCTGTACTTAGCTACTTCACAGTCAAAAAAATTAAAGAAAACACAATAGTACACATAATACAGACTGTAAATTTTCCATTTTTATGTGGCTTATTTTTCTTTTTTAAAAAATCTATGACTATCTGTACTCTTTTTCTTTAAAGACTTTACCCTTTCTTTTAAAACATTAACTTTATTTTATGATTCTCTATACTCTTTTTCTTCTCTCTCCCAAGCCTAAGTACACCCATCCAACACTGTGACACATTTAGAGGTCATTTATGTCTGAATCTGTCCTATTGTGAATGTGTAATTCTTTCCTGTCCAGGACCAGTTTTGTTTTGTGCTTTGAAAATGCTAAGCTCTTAAGAATCTAATCTGTGACAATCCCAGGTCTAATACAGGTACTGCCTGCTTGTCCTACCCAGTCCAACATGATGGAGCCGCTTGTGCCTCTGGGCCTTGCACTGTACCGCTAGCATGGCAGAGCTGCTTGTGCCTCTGAGTCACTTGTGCTTCTGAGCTGTGGTATGCAATGCCCCCTTGTAGGCACATCATACCACTTTACTCACAAACCCCATCTAAATGCTCTGTCTCCCACAAGAGACAGAGGTCACACTAGGAGCATAGCCCAGAAAGCCAGCATTTTAAAACTGCACGGCTTTTTTTTTTTTTGACTGCTGAGTCAGGAAATTCTCTCTGCAGCATGCCACCAGCAAACAACAAAAAACTGTGTTAAACTCTCTCTCTCTCTCTCTCTCTCTCTCTCTCTCTCTCTCTCTCTCTCCTTTTTAAACCCTCTCAGGTTTTTAAGTGGGTTTAGTCCATCACGTTGGGTACCATTCTGTTGTAGGGAGAGCAGATCCTTTTGTTTCATCCCACCCAGCTAGCTTACACCCAAAATAACTTGACTGTGGCTTACTGGCATGAGTCTAACCAGCAAGAGAACCATGGGGTCTGTCATACTGCCCTTCTTACCAGCATTCTGTTCTGTCTTCTCCACCTGTCTAAGCTCTGCCCTATCAAAAGGCCAATGCAGTTTCTTTATTCAACCAATGAAAGCAACACATAAGCAGAAGGACCTCTTACACAAGGATGACAGTTGATGTTAGTTGTCTTCATGATTGTTTTCTACTATATTTACTGGGACATGGTCTCTCTTCTGATTAAGTTTGCTAGCCAGCTAGTTTATTCAAGGGATAATTGATGGTCACCACACCATCTATGGTTTTTATGTGGCTTCTGGGGATCCAGATTCTGGTTTTCATACTTACAGTGAAAGTGTTCTATGCACTGAGTCATCCTCTCAGCCCTGGAAGTATTTTATTTTATATTGAAAGAGAGATTTTCTTCACCTCACTCTATTATATCTATTCTCCTAGTACAATGCTCATCTCAGGAAAAGAGAAATCAGTAGAGCATCAAGATGAGCAATTCTCAACCTGTGGGTCATGACCCTTTTGGGGGTTGAAGGATACTTTTACAGTGGTCACCTATGAGCACTGGAACACACAGATACTTATTTATGATTCATAAGAGTAGCAAAATTATAATCATGAAGTAGCAACAAAAATAATTTTATGGTTGGGATCATCAGCACAATATGAGGAACTGCATTAAAGTATTGAAGCATTAGGAGGGCTGAGAACCACTAGGTACAGCCTTCCATTGTGGAGAAGAAACCCTTGTTGAGCAGCTGACTGTATCCCAAAAGGCAGGATGGTCTGCAGCTCACATCCTGGTGGAAGCACAAGCTTGGATACACAGAGGAAACTGAAGCTGGAAAAACAAAAACAAAAACAAAAACATTCTTTTAGATCTTTCTTAGAGTTCCAGGGAATTTGTCATAAACGCCGGCTGTCAAACGTTTTTAAAATAGCAGAAAATCCTTGCGGGATGTTCAATATTCTACCCAAAGTCAGCAAGTCAAAAGGGCACAGAAAAGAAGGGAAGTGAGTGAAATCTTCAAATAGTCCAAAGGCTCTTCTGTGTCTGAGAACAGCTGCTTTATCAGTTACATTAAGGAAGCACAGAAGCCCTATGAAGGAACAGGAATGAAGCTGACTTCCTGGAAGTACTCAGCTTAAGGGAAACAGATTGATGGCCTTCATATGTCTCCCGTCCCATGTTTACCCTTCCAATTATGAGACTCACATACACACGAATAAATCCTGGAATCCATTTTAACCTTAAACAAACAACAAAACACAGGTCATAGAATCAAGTACTTTCTAGGTCCTTCATATAAAACTTATTTAGAAATTGTTCATTTCCAGAAAGTGTTTAAGATGAAGATCTTGAGCATTATTTCAACATGAATGTCTTAAATTAAGTTACTATTTCTTTCCCTTTGGTCCTCAGGATGGCTTGAGAATCCAAGTGTAAGTACTGGGTTTGAAAAGATGGTTGCTTGTGAAGTGCTTACCACACAAAATGAGGACTTGAATTCAGATCCTGGTACTGGATATGCAGCTTTTGTCTGTAACACTAGCACTGGAAAGACAGAGACAGGAAGTCACTGGAGCTCACTGTTCAGCCTAGCTAGCCAAATTATTGAATTACTGAACAAGGTTCAGGAAAAGACCTTGTCTCAAAAAAGAAATAGAGGCAAACTGGGAAACATATCTGTTATTGGCCTCTCACCTCCACATATGCCTGAACACACATGTGCACACACACATACACACATCATACATATACAATCAATATGACTCAATGTCTGTAACTGGCCAGAAAGCCCCTGAGATATGCCAGTCTCTACCTCTTCAGTATCGGGCTGACAATAGTGCCACCACAACTACATTTTTATATGGGTTCTTGAGATTGAACTCAGGTCTTTGTAATTGTGTAACAAGCACTTTACTGACCGACCAATCTACCCAGCTCCTTTCAGTTTTAAAACACAGACTATGCTTACAAACCCATCAATTATAATGATGGCAGAAAATCCCTGTCCTTGGTAAGTCACTTTTATGTTGTAATCACAGGGCACACGAATGAAAGCAGTGCTTTTACTAGCATAAAAGCACTAAATCTAGAGGTTATCTTAAGTCAAAGGGATTATTCAATGCTTCATTCCTGGCTTCTCTTAGGTTACATTTGAGATGAAAGACTCAAGTAAGCCCTTTAAGATTTAGGACTGTAAATGGAGGAGAAATCTAATGGTTTAATAAAATGCACAATAGACAAGGAGAAGAGAGAAAGCCATTTTATTGGTTCAATTAAACCGGAGAGAGGAGAAAGGGAAATCCCTTAATTGTGATTTTCTTATGAAACATTAAACAGAGAGACATTAGTCACAGTGCTTGTTTAGAGATTACAATCGGCAAGCTTATGGATTATCTGCATTAACACCAGGAATTAAAATGAATGGCTTTTAGCTTTATGGATTAAATTTGAAGGTATGCTGTCTTGCTAGCACAGGAATAACTTTGTTTCTTAACATTGATTACTGTACTGGATGATGTCTGCAGAGGGACGGGTTCCTGATGGAGGATTCCTCCCTGCCGGGTCTCAAAATGAGGCTGTCACTGTTCTGCCCTTCAGGGGCTGGGTTGGACGGTGGTTGCTCAGAATAGGAACTTCTGCCTCTCCCTCTGCATTTGACAGAACACTGCGGAGCTGTGCCAGCTGTGGGGTGAGACATTTAAAGGATGAAAAGCTGTTAAAGTCCAAGAAAGCACTTTGTTTCCAGAGAAGTTAATGCATTGTTGCTTAGAAAGCAGTTAAAGACAGTGGTGGTTCTTTTGGTGGGCAGGAAGGAGGCTGCAGTAATGTACCCGCCTCTGCACCAGGTATTAACTGAGGCACAGTTGGCTCTGTCAGAACATCAGATTGCACTTGGGAGCTCGTGCAATTGATTTGTCAGTTCAGCACCCCTTAATTTCTCACAGCATTTCCTTTTGGGAGTTGTTCAGATTAACTGGGTTTATTCATGCCAAGGGTCTATAGGAGTGCTTGGTGTACAATGCCTCTGCTCCACAAGCATCAGTAAAGGGCAGGGCACAAGGCTGTGAGAAACACAAAACAGTTCGGGAAAGGAGCTCTTCCATCAAACAGCAGCAGCATCTTTAGAGACAATAAGCCAGAAGGTGCTTTAATCGATATTTTAATGTTAACTTTAGCTAGAAAAATTGTTAAGTTGGGCCACCTGAGAGCCATTGTGGAAGTTCCAAGGAGAATTCACTGTCTGTTCCTGACATTCGGAGAAGCCACCTAACAGGTTTTGACTTTTCTTTATGAAGAACAGCAGGAACTTGGAACCTCATAAGTCTATTCTCTACATAGAGTAAAAACAGTTATTGGAAGGACTTTATCTATTTAATTGTTTGTTTGTTTAGAAAACTCAGGGATCCTTCACTAGAAATAAATTCATTTTAATTGATACCTGCTCAGGGCTGGCATTGATGCTCTCCTTGAGGATGAACCAGGTCACACTTTCATGAAGAGGAGGGTGAGTCAGAGAGCCAAAATAAGTCCAGTAATCCCGGGATGAAGGAAGGAGACAGGATGGGTCAAAATTTGTGAATGGGGCTCGTTTTCCCTGGGAACAAAAACAGTATATATTATGCTATAAAATGTATCATAGATTGCCCCTTTATATATTACCTAGAGATTTTAGGTGCATTTAATTTTGACTTTTCTTCTATACTTATTTAATGTCTGATATGTTTGTGAATATGAACAAAACAATACAAATATGAACAATACAAATATGAACAATACAAATATGAACAATACAAATAACATAAAAATACATTAAACCTTCCTCTTCATTGGAAGATGAAAAAATCTAAAAATTTTCTGTAATTTATATTTACCAAAAGATACTTAATATTCATTAGGAAATATCTTAATTTCTTTGGATAAGCCTCTGTCCTGGTCTAGGGGCAAAGACATTCAGGACAAGCCCATCAGTTACATTTTATTCCTATTTATTCCCATAAGTATTCCTGATCTGTTATTATTTGTATAAAGAAAATTAACTGATATTTTAAGGTAATTTTTTTTTTGATTTTTCGAGACAGGGTTTCTCCGTAGCTTTTTGGTTCCTGTCCTGGAACTAGCTCTTGTAGACCAGGCTGGCCTCAAACTCACAGAGATCCGCCTGCCTCTGCCTCCCGAGTGCTGGGATTAAAGGCGTGCGCCACCACCGCCACCAGTTTTACCAGACTGTTTTTTTTAGTCTATCTAATTTTTTATTTGACTCCTTTAAATTTTCCAGGTAGATATATCATTGATACATGATAATTTTGTCTTTGTTTTCCCAATATTTAGCTTTATGTTTTGTTCTTTATTTGTTTAATAGTTAAAATTTTAAATTATGCCAGTTGTGATAGTGGTAGACACTGTACTATTCTTTATCTTGACTGCACTAGAACAACGTCAGCTGGAGAAACTGATGATATGAATTTTCATGTTTAATCTGATAATATCTAATCAAAGATTAGTTTTAACACTATCCACATCTAGAGTGAACTCTACTTGGTCAAAAATATGACTTCATCAATAACGCTATTGCAAATGATCTGCTGTAATTTCAGAGTTATTTCACCATACTACTAGAAAAGGCTGTGCTACCCGCTGAGCCATCTTGCCAGTCCCTCTAGTAACATTTGGTGTTTGTGCCAGCTTTCTTTTACCAAAGCTGCCCAAATGATTCCTTTTTGTTGTTGTTTATTCTATAGAGTAAATTCTTCATTTATTGATAAAAGTGGTTTGTATTCATCTGTAATTTTATTTCTTTTTTACTATTTTCTGCTTTTATCCTCACTATTTCCTTCTATTTTATTTTCATATATTTTTGATATCCTTGAGTAGAATTTAAAGAACATTCCATCTCACTTTATTATATCATTCAAAGTTCTTTTCTGAACTCAGCATAAAACAAACTTACTTTTCATAAAATACAATTGTTCTACTCGCTGTAAAAATAATGATAATTACTTTGACCTTCAAAATAAGGTCAAACAGTGTTAAGACAGTTGTGCTAAGAATGAATATTTCAGAAAATCCATTAAGGGTTTTAAGTTTAGTTCAGAATCATAGTTCTCAAATAGGGCTTTTCAGGCCCATGTTTTCATGTTACTAAAGAATTCAAGATGTTTCTTTTCATGAAACAGAAAGCTCTCACTAGAGTGTGATTGGTTTTTAGCAAATCAAGAAGTGTCTCATCAAAAAGTCACTTTTTTGATTGGTTTTATCAGATCAAAAAGTGTTCTACTAGGAACAAGCACCAGGAAAACAAAACAAAACCAACTCCTACATCAATTTCTCCAGGACAAGAAAGGTTTGTATGGCACCTTGTGTCTGCTTGGCTTCTACACCTGTCTTCCTGTTTCTCATTTCAAACAGGCAACTGGATGATTTATGTACTTCCGTGTGTTCTTGTTTTCAGAATTAAATTAAGTTACTTAGCTTATTTACCTTAGTTTTAACTGAGTTTAGGGCATCGAGTACTTTCTGCAGATTTGGGTTGGTTGGACCAACCTAGAGAATTAAAAGATAAAGAAGGTGTGAGTTGTATACTGATACTTATAAAATATTCTTTAGTCAAAATTTATTTTTCAAGTAACATCAATAACTGGAGAGTGACAATTATGTAACTCCTATGACTCACCTTCACCAAGACACCAAGGATTGCTAGCCCATCCGCCTTTGAGATGGCTTCCGCAGCACTGGAGTACTTGGCTGAATTCCAGTGAACTATGTGAAGCTAGAAGGGGCAACATGTGAATAATTCATTATTAATATTGTTGCAAAGGAAAAGACAGAAGATGAATTACATCTTAATTTGTTATATTTAAGATATTTCATGGTAGTGGTAGACAAACTCCATGTGAACCCTCATCTTGTGGGCAACTAGCTTTAGGATAAAAGGTGAAATAATTTTCTCTTCCATGAGAGAACTTTGTAAGAAGGTCCTCGACTGCTTGGAAGTTTGGGCATATCAGTGCTTTTCCCAGGATCTCCTTAGTCAAATTCTGCAGTCTAAACTCTTGGTGAAATTTTAGGCTCACACATCCACGTGTGCCTGGATGTGTTTCTGATCTTGTCTTTATATCTCCATATGATGTCTAACAGATGTCTGAGAAGTCACATGGCTAAGGAAAAGCTTGAGTCCTCATATTACACCTGTCATTTTCTCCTCTTAGGAAAGGTAATACTATTCTCCTAACCACTCTATCAAAAACTACCACAGTTATAAAAAAAGAATTTCATGTTTTACACATTTATCAGCCTCTGTGCCTAGCAGAGTATACTTCTTCACTTGGTCATAGCTTGGGTTTTTTTTTTCTTGTATTAACTGCTGACTTCCTGGAATTTTCTTTGTCTCTATAGTTAGGACTGAACTCAAATACCACATCTCAATGAGTAGATTACCCAATATAAAGTGGCCACCATAACTCAAATCTATTGTTTTCATGCATTTATCTGATCTCTTCTTTCTCTCTATCCCCTTTCTTTCCTTCTTAACTTACCTCACTTTTTAAAAAAGCTTTTTATTTCCCATACAAAATGTAGATTCTTCTCAGTTACTTTAAAAACAAAAATCTAGTATACCATAACGACTCAATAAATAGTTGATAAATAATAAGAACACTAATGTTGAGAGCAATCACTCCCCAGGCCTAGTTGAAGTGTCATCTCATGATCATTTATACTTCCGACTCACTGACAATTCTCTGTATGCACTCACACTGCCTTTTAGTACTGTTTACTTAATTCCCACCGTTGGCTCATGCGTTATCTCCTCTACAGAACTGCAGGTAATGTTCCTGATCACTTATGATGTGGAAGCTGGCTTGAACATATAAGGAGATTAATGCTATAATACCTAACTGTAGAAGAGAAGAGTCACATAGCCAAGACGGCTCAGCTTTGACTCCATGAAGGTCAAGGGAGGAGCTTGCACATGTCACACATTACCTATATCACCTGGTGTGTCCTCCACACAAGCTTTCGAGATGAATATTAAATAACGTGTTGAACTTTGTGACTAGATGTTTCTCATCATTGGCTTAGATTATTTTTCTCAATTTATTTGAGTAAATATAATCCCTGATTTAGATTCCATGAATGTTTACAAGTAACCTTCCTAAAGCCTAATATTTTAGACTTCTATTCCACTTTAGTCCACCTCCAGTTTTGCAGAAGGGAAACTAGGAATAAGTTTTTATAGCTGTCTGAAACACTGAAAGTTATTATTTAAAAATTATAAAATAAAACAAGCTATAGCTGTATTCAACCCCTAGCACCTAATTCTATCACAATACACTGCATATATTTTAAAACCTCTTCTGTGAGAAATTTTTCTTACATAGTTACTTCAATAGGTACCTCAGATACAGGCATAATTGAAGGATTATCTGACAAAAACAACTACAACAAAACTCAGTGGAATATAATAACAAGCAGATATTGTAATTGTCTATCAAGAAGGCTAGTTAAATAAATTCTGATATTTATACAATGAAATATTGAGCAGTTATTATTCACTTATTTATTTATTTATTATGTATACAATATTCTTTCTGCGTGTATGCCTGAAGGTCAGAAGAGAACACCAGACCTCATTACAGATGGTTGTGAGCCACCATGTGGTTGCTGGAAATTGAACTTAGGACCTTTGGAAGAGCAAGCAATGCTCTTAATAGCTGAGCCATCTCTCCAGCCCCAGTGAGCAGTTATTTTTAAAAGAGATAGAATTAAACCCCTTCTGACTTGTAAAATAATGATAACACATTGGCAAGTAGGGAAAAGCAAGTTTCAAAATCATATGCATTATAGAGTTCATTTTAGTAAATTAAAACTAAAATGGAATCATAATTATGTACACACACCTCTCTCCTTCCCCCTTCCACTCTCCCCCAAGGTGTCAAGATGTTTTTCATGAACTCTTACATATAAGTTTGGGCACTTCTTTAGATAAATATCTAAAATATCTCTTTATTGCAATATATAGTGTGCCAGTGTTTGATTTTAATGGATTTATGCATCTGTCCTACAAAGACCAGCAAGCTCTCCTCTTTGATGTCATTCAGAGATCCTTTGGAGGCATGCTCATGAGCTGTCTCTCATTAATATATCACATTACCTCTCCAGAATATTTGACTCCATCCACGGTATGCTCAGATCCATGGTCGTTGGAGTTGCCCCAGTGAAAATGGAACTGGACAAGCCGATAGGTATCAGAGAGAGGGCCCCCTTTCAGAACTAGAAGGAAAGAAAGGTACTCTCAGCCAGGTAATCTCTAGTTCATATTTAATATAAATCAATGCCACTTTATGTTGTGTGAAACTGTCAACATTTGATTTTCATTGTGTTTCCACTCCACATCCCCGAGGATGACACTCATATACACTGTCTTCCTGATTATGACAGCAACAATATAGCTCATGAAATATTTACAAATTCCAGCAAAGAAACAAGTTTACCTATTTATGTTGCCAAGATAATATATTCCAAAGTGAATAAATTACATGATCACAGAGTTTTCTTTTATCTCCATTAATTTACAAGTTTACTTCTTCATTCAACCTTACTGTGTGGCTAGTAAGTACAATTTCTGTTAACTAAAAATTCACTGACACTTTTTTTTAAAAACAATTATTGAAGATATAACAATGTAGTTTGACTAATTTGTTGAGACCCGATGGCCAGGGATCAAGAGATACTGCTTGTGGGGCAAGATCACTTTTTAGACGTTTTCTCTGAATGACAGTCCAGCCTGGTGAATCTGTCCAATCATATGATTACCTAAGCAAAAGACCCTCTAGACCTAACCTATTATTAATAAGGGGCACACCTCTAAGGTAGCTAACATTTAAAATTAGAATTTGGTGGGAAAGTAGGGCAAGAATGGCATTTCACATTACTAGAACTCTTATCGAACAATTCGTTAAGAGCTTATTCAATAAATACTGTTGAAAAGTTGACCATGTGGCAAGCAACATGCCAGATTCTCAGATATGATGGGAACTCATGCACACCTGACTCCTTATTAAGCTCATCCACTCTCATCCTGTTTAGAATATTTCCTTTATGGCTTCATGTTTATTGTGATTTTTGTACTAGACTCTTTTGGGAAAAAAGGTGTCTCTTACAGAAATAATGATAAAGATCCTGGAATGGCCAGAATAGGAAAGATGGCTCAATAAGAAATAGAAGGATTGCAAGAAGAGCTGGGAGCTCTGCAAGCCATCTTCCAGGAGGCCACAATGCCTCCCAGCCATTGCAATTGTAAGATAAGAAATACATGTACAAAATACACAGGACGCTGTGCTGTTTCTGAAGCTACTCTGACTCTTGCCTGATCTTGAGACTGTTTTTCCTATTGAGTTGCCTTATTCAGCCTCAATATGAGTGCCTTGGCATTTTTTTTTGTATCCTCTTTTGTTTTGTTTACCTGTTGTCTCTTAGACCTGCTCTGTTCTGAAGGGAAGTGGAAAAGTATCTCTGCAGGAGAAGGGAAGAGTGGAGGGAGGCAAAACTGTGGTTGGAATGTATTATATGAGAGAAGAATCTGTTTTCAACAGAAAATACATTTAGTAGACTCTAAGGAAACAAGTATCAAAATTGTCTTTAGGCTCACCAGATTGGTTACCGCTGTCATCAAAAACTACTTGGAAGGAATGTCCCACATTAACAATTTCTTTGGCAGTTGCAGGATTATAGGTGACACTGATAGGTTTCAGAGAGGTGTCATGTTTGACTTCACTGGTTTTGATGTCAACTGGAGACTGGTTGTTTCCATTGGCAATGGGATACAGCTTGCTCCATTGGTCAGGACCTATGGGAACAAACATGTCCACGTAACTACAATTTTACAGAATGCTTCATTCCAAGTATCAGAACTTCAACTCTTTGCTTGTTAGATTATGATTTAGTCAGGTGTCTTAAATGGCATTCAGTATTTGAAAATGTACCTTTCATTACTATACTAATAAAGAGTATATTTGGCAATATCATCAATACAGGCCTAATTATGCTATCTATACAGTTATAGTATAGAAATAGTATGCACATACCAAATATATTTTTGTAGATCTTTATGCCCAAAGGCCAACTACTAAAATTACATACAAGGATACTTTAATTATTGAAAGTGTGTCAAGTCATTAATCTGTGACTACACAGTAAAGTTAAATGATTATTAAATTTAGCAGAAGTGGGAATGAAGTGTTGTTTTGACAAAAGCAAAAGAAGTGCTCTTACCGTTTTTGGCATCATATCCCCAGTCTGCACTTGCCATGATCTCCTGTTTAGTTTTGGTTCCTGAAAAAAGAAATGATATGTAGAATAACCAACTGCTCCTGTGACTGCAGCAGAGATCTTATGTGACACCATGGGTTTTTATAGAAACTTGTCTGCCTATAATAGTCCACTATTTCATAATCTCTGCTTATCAGGAAGTATTATATCAAAATAAATGGTATTGTAAAAATGTCTCTTGGGATTAGGTCAGCTCTAATTGTTTTATTGTAATATAAAAATTAAATATCAAAATCATAGATGTTATTAAACTAGTCTTGTTCTCCTATGCTTGTAGAAGACATGGCTGAATATTGACTGATGTTTATCAAATTTTCTAGAATAAAAAGTACTTTGTGCCCTTAGGATTTCTAGTGATGCCATAACTGGTTAACTAAACAATGTTAGCAACAGTAATTTAATAAGGAAATGAATGTGCATGATTATGAAATGAATGAGCATCATGATGTTAAGTTAGAATCAGGTAGTAAACCCATAGTCAATTATCAGTAACATAACATAATTCACTATGATACATTTTATAGAAACATAAATAAACTTTCTAGATGAATTCCAAAGAACATGTCAATGTGAGACATTCTTCCTACATGAACTTTTAGGACAATAATAACCATTCAGGTTAGAAAAGGTCCTTTGTTCTGGAGACATGTTGAAATTCATAAGTGGGGATGATTTTATTAATATCAAAGCAGAATGTGGTATAATAGCTTTCCACCTAGAATAAAATATGACCTCTTTATAGTTCTCTGCAATTTATTATCTCTTTCATATTGCTTTATTTTATTATAGTACATATAAATTCTATAAAGTAAGAATTAGCATTTTGTAGCTGAGGGATGTTGAAGGAATTCATCACAACTCTCAAGATGTCTGAACCTCAGCCTTTATAGTTCAGTTGCCTTCTTCATTCCACCACTACATGTATTGCCCTGGGTAAAGTGTGGGATAATGATAATTCTGCTTCTGGGTCCACAGTGCTCATAAGATCAGTCTGAGTATACACCAATGTGAGAACTCACCTTGCTCACTCACTCACACTGTTTAGTGAAGAGAAGCAGCAGAAACTTTCCAGAGAGGCACAGAAAGCTGCCTGGGATGTGTCAAAATATGGATAAGCCCTTCTTTCAAAGTCTGCAAATATTGTTGTTTGGAAGTAGAAACAGAACTGTAAACTTCTGACATAATGAGTATCTTTCTTCCCTCTGCTGCAGAACTGTCTGCACTGCCTTGAGCCACGAAGGAAGATGGGCAACAGGCATGCTTAGGTAGGTGCACCATTCATGCTGTCGCTCTTTAATATTGATGACTGTATCCTTCCTCAGGAAATTGTCCACAGCTGGTAAATATAAACTTTCACATGAGGATGCTAAAGTTCCCACCCTAGATCTTAGTAAGCATTAGGAAGCACAGCTTGAAAGGGAACTTAATTTTATTTAAATAACGTTTTTAAATCTGATGGTGCTCCATGGATTTTTCACATACAACATCATTTTAAAGAGCACATATGCATTATAAAACATTAAATTCAGTTAATGGTCACATTACTTAGAGTTGATTTCATGACAATAGTACTCAATGTCCACTCTCTTCATTTAAAAGAATACAACCCATCACCATTAACTATAGTTAACTTGCTCTACAATTCCTGTCTAACTGTAATTACTATGTTTGAGTCATCTCCTTAAATCTTACATTGAATTACTATATTAATCAATGCATTTGGAACAACATTCTTGCATTATTACATGATGATTCACTATAGGAATGTCTTATATGGTATAGTAATACATTTAAAGTTTTAGAGGCAACTTCCTTGACTCCTACCTTCATGACCCTTTATTTTATGACGTACTCAGCGCATATTCAAGTATTCCCACAAAGAAAGAATTAGAGGGAGAGTTGTAAAATTTAATGAGGGTCCAACCCTAACATGGCTCTCACTTACTTTTATTCAATATTTTCTTTTCATAAACGGACTCTCTCATTTTTATGTCTAAGCTAAAGGAATGGTGTTTAATGTTCTTATCCATTGGACTTTGACTCATAGATCTCTTCCACTATACTTCCTGAAGATTATAACATTTGCTTTGCTTTTACTCCTAAGAAGATGCTCAATCTATACAGGCTTTGCTCTTCTAAACAGCTTATTTCTTAAAACCATCAAAAATATAAATGGAAAAAAGCTTTTTGCTTTAACTGATAAACTGTTTTGAAATAAGCCATATACTCCTGAAACTTAATCATAAATCACCAATATTAATACAATCATTTCCACTTATGAATTTCAACATATCTCCAGAATGAAGGATCTTTTCTGGCCTGAATGGTTATTACTGACTGGTCCACTATCTGCTACTATGACAAAAGAAATACAAGAATTAAGTTACAAAATAAACAAAATTTATTTGAGCTCATTGTTCTGGAGGTTTCAGGCCAAGATAGACTGTCCCAGCTCATTTGATCTGATAAGGTGTGTCATGGGTAGAGTGCATGGTAAGAGGCAGAAAGACAAGAGGCAGAGATCCAGTGGTCTTCAGCAATCCTCCTCTATTTGTGCCCCCAATACGTGGTTAGTATTTCCTGAAGCCAAACCTCTTAAGAATTTGTCCTACCTCTCAATAGGTGCCTCTCTGAGGACCAAACTTTGATACATGGACTTTTGGGGGTGTTCAATATCCAAACTAACAGACATGGTTTTGCCTGAAATGGCACATACATTTCCAAAATCAAGGGCTATTAAGTTTGACTTTAATCTCACAATGCTCCCTAAATTTCATGTCCTTGCAGAAATGATATTTTTGGTGCTGTTGTGACAAAATCAGCCTTATTTTCAGTGAATAATTTAGTCATGGAACATGGTAATATGAGCCAGGACATTTCCACATTAAGATAGTTAAAACTATGATAAGCCAATTTAAATGGTTTATCTGAATTTTATACATACCACTTTCACCATTTTGATCTTTCTCTTCACTTACATTGAAGACACGTGGAAAACTTTGTTCTTTCAGTGTCCATCTCAGTGCTTTGCTCCTGTGGACCTGCCTTCTGGAGCCAAAGCCTGCTAAGGCTCAGTATTACCCTCTCACATCTGACTTCCAAACCCTCCACTGTGTCTCTCCACTCCCAGCCTCTCTGCTATACCATTCTATATTATTTAGTTTATAACCTTGGTTACATTAGAAATTATTTTTGGTCACATCATGAAATTAGCAGATTCACTATAATTTCAGATTTTGGAGCAGGATTGGTTTCAGATCAATGATATTCATCTCATATATGAGCAAATGCTCCAAACACTTGAAAAACTCCAAAACTGTAAATCCTTTTCCCATTCCCTTTCAGTCTGTCCTTCTTTTACTTGCTGAGTATCTGCAATAGTCTCTGAAAGAGTACCCCCGGAACGATAAGACCTGGGCCAGGTAGCTTTCCACCACCATGTTCTCTCCCTTTAACTTCTGGAAAAAATGGTGCTATATATTGGTAAACAGAACAGCTGAAAAGTCACTTTAAGCTGCATTTCTTTTGTTTTCATGAAGAACACTATGGGCAAGCTGCTCAGCAGGGTTGTCTGATCTAAACTCTATGGTGTGTGGAGAGTGGATGTGTGAGCATGTGAATGGGCTTTATAGAGGGTGAACTCATGACCACATTTGGACTGAGCAGAAAGAATCTTTCCCTCACACTTCTATTAATGGGATGGTGAAGTGATCAACTGCCTCTGTCAATCATTTCTGGGAGTGTGAAAACTTTGGTTCTTAGAAGTGTCAAATAGTTTGACACGTTGTGTGGCAAAATTTAACTGTTCAATTTTTATATGAATTTTTATTGTGCTAAATTGAAAAAAAATCCAAGATTCTTAAGGCTACTATTGCTATGATTAGGGACATTGTTTAACTCCCCCTGCCACACTCATATGTCTTAGAGCATATTAATTTGAAGGCAAATTTTAAATTTGGCAATGAACTTTTAAAAATCAGTAACCAACGCAGCTGTACACAAATAATGACTTAAATTCACAGTTTCAGGGCATAGTGTCTTGTAATTTGGCATGTTTGAAAAACTTTAAATTGTAAACATATTTAGTTACTGTCTTGTTTACTAAAATAACCCAGCTGGAAAGTCCTTCTGAGAATAGGAATGTATAAACATTTATTAAGATAATAGTCCATACTTCCTTCTTTGCTGATTGGAACACCCTCATATTTATCTTTAAAGCTGAGCAATATTATTTGTATCTTACCTTCTATAACTGGTTAAGGAATGTGCTCCCCCCCAACCAAATGATCTAAACAAGAAACATTTTCACATGAAAGCAAGGTATGTACAATACTTCATAAGCCATAAAATGAATTTGAACCCAAATGAGGGCTTGAGAACAGAGTTTGATTTTTAACTCCCAGGCAAATAGACAATTATATAAAACAAGAGAATCGAAATGATTGCATGCGGCCTCAAATCCAAACAATTGCATAACAGATCTGCTCACCACAGCTTAAACTAAATACCACAAGTTAATCTAAAAGGAGATAAGTTTTCAAGTGTAAATATTAAGGAAGGTGAAGGACATTTTTATCAGTGATTTTGTGATAAAATCTTTCATGTACCTTTTTGAGGTTTCCATCTAAAATCATCTTGAAATTAAAAGAAAAAGTTCTGCTGTCCCCCATTGCCTTTATTAACTCCTAAACTCTTTTATTCTATCATAGTAGATTTCTAAAAATACACTTGCAGTTAAATATGTCCTTTCTTAAATCCCATGTTTCTTAATGCATTATTTACTGAAGACATGCCTTGGATTGACCTGGTAGTGATTAAAAGGTGCTCATGTGTGAGGCTTATTCTTCCATTACTTCTGTGATATGATAGTATCTAGACTGGGTGATCAACAAATATCAAGTGTGTTTCCTAAGCATTGGTAGCCCCATTAGCTACAACTGGGAGCTATGTGAATTATCCCCTCACCTAATTTCCAAGAGTTCTATTTAAGTGAAACAAGTTTCTGACCAAATTCCTGACTGTGCATATATTATTAACAATACATAAGCATATATTATTAAATATGCATAATATATTATATTACAAATGTATT